CACGGGCACAGTCCTGGCTCTTGCCTATGTATTTATCTCTCCTGCCTTCTGAGTATGAAGGTAACAGCTTTGATATCCGTGGTTCTGGACAGCCTAAAAACAGTCCCCAGCCTAAAATAAATGAAGGCAGGGAAGGGAACTGTGGGAGGCGGGGGTCCGGATAAAGAGGAAGGGAGCGGTGTGTGGTGTGCCTGCGGCAGTGTGACACGGCAGGAGTGTTCCCGCTGCTCAGCCACAGAGGAGCTGGGTGAATCCCGCCCTGCTCCTGTCACTGCACACACACACACACACTTGCAGGGCTCTCACAAATGCAGACTAAGCTGGCTCTGATGCTCAGGGTATTACTACAGCAGTTGCAGGCTCTGTAGTTGCATGGCCACAGTTAGGAGTGCTTAAACTGAAGATCTGCAGTGCAAATTGTTAAAAAAGTAAGGGCTGAAGCTTTTAGGAGCCAAGTTCTTGTCTGACAGACCGCTGTAGTCAAGGGCTACCCCAGCCAAGAAACAGGACCTTGAGGTATACAGCAAAATACCACCAAAAATGCACAAAAGCCTCTGGCAGATGGGTTCATCCAGCACCTCCCATCACCCCGGTAAGGAAAATGTTTGATGTCCGGGCTGATGAGCAGCACAGACTATCTGCAGTAACATGTCATTCCTGAGTGAGCTTTTACATGAGTTTATGGCATAGCAAGTGCAAACAGCCATTATGGTTAATAAATCAGTCTCGGTAATATTTGCAGTTAGCAAACACACAGGAAGGGAAAATGTCAGACCACATCTGCTCCATACTGAGACAGGAGACACCTGACATTTCCTTCCACCTCAATGACTTCACTGTGCTTGTTTGGCCTTTGAAAACAGCTATTATTGTGCTGAAATCTCAAAGAAACTATTCTCAGTGAACCAGAATCCCCCTTGAAATCCACCTCCTTGATGGCAAGCCTGGATTTCCTGCTGCTCCATTGGAGTGCCCTGATGGTTCTTCGGTCAGTACCTCCCCTGCACCCAGAGGCAAGGGAGCAAAGTAAAAAAGGTACAAATTGGCAGCTTCCTGGGCAGGTCAGCTCTAGACACCCATTCTACATCCTGCAGGGGAGGAATTCAGATCCCACACTTCACACCATCTGGAGATACAGGTCTTCTTCACTCACAGTTTGCTCCCTGCTCGGGCAGTGGAGTCCTAAGGGTTATATAATTTGGCAGTCAAAATATGATGTCTAATTTTCTCGAGGTCCTGCCCAGCCTTTTTAAAATCTGTTTGAAACAAACTGCAGGCTTATCTGTCCCTTCCATCACCAGGTTCAGATGGCTCATTTCCATCAGCGTGACAGATGTGCTTGAACCTCATCTCATAAAAACCCAAAGATTAGACCTGTGAATGTAAGTGCTCCCAAAAATCCAGTTCAGCAGGAGGTCAAAAGTAATTAACGCTTTAACCACTGAATGGTGGCAGGTGTGCAAGGGGAAGCATCTTCCACCAGGCCCTGAGGGAGGGCACCTTCCACCACACGGACACTGCTCCAGGCCTCACTTCAGTCCCTGCATGAGCTCTGCTGAGAAGCAGGCCAGCACAGAAGAGTTGGAATGGAAAAGGTAAGGGACTGTAATTACAGGGGACATGCTCCAAGCTTGAAAAGGCTCTCAACACTGTCCACCAAAAAGCTTCTCCCGGGGCAGCAACACGAGCCAAGGCAGTGGCATCGAACAGCCTCCTGCCTGGACTGACCTCTACTAAAACTGATAAATGTACGTCCGTGGGCTGCAGCCCCAGGGCATTCTAGCCTGGCATCCACCAAGGAGAACCTTTTGTGGTCCCACCACAGCAAGGCTCTTACCAGTTCACATCAGTATTTTTAAGTAGGGTCCCAGAGCAAACAAAGCACAGGATTTGGAAGTACAGATTGGACACAGCAAAAGGAGCATCTAAGGTCAGTTCTGCCACATCAAACTGTACGCGAGCTCTGCATGGGGGTGAAGGATAATTAAAAGTATATGTATATGTACGCCATGTGAAAGTTCAGTTCCTGCTGGGGAGAAGCCAGAACACCAGCTTCCCACACCCCACACCAAGGTCTGTGTAGGCACAGAGGAGAGCCAGCCAAGCTACTTGAAAAACAAAACTGATTCATTTGCAGGGATCCAAAATCAAACCCTCGAGACAAGGAAAAGATGCCGTGATTTGCTTTTTGGAAGACAAACTCCTCCCCAGCCTCACCTTAGCTAACCTGGGCTCCAGATGTACCTGCAGTGGGGCAGAGCTGGGGGGCACAATCAAAGCTGTCACCTCTGCATGGAAGAGGGGAGACACTCCCCTTTCCAGAGTGTGTCGGGACCACATGCATCTTGGTCAGTTTTAGTATTTTGGTTAATAGAGAAATCTCACCCTTCTGTCTTGAAAAGGGGCTGTGCCATGCACAGGCTGTTGCAGCGCACTATGGAAAGAATGTTTGGGAGCAGACAAAGGCTGATGCTGAAAAGCATTTTTAAATTCAGGCTTGAAACAGTCTGCTTTCAACACCCTTATTTTTAAGAGCAGGAAAATGAGGGATTGTTCCTTTTTCCCTCCTTCACAGGGTCAAAAGGGGAGGATATGGGAACAGGTTTTCCTGCGTTCAGTTTTCAGGAGGATTTTTTTTTTTTTGCCAGTCTGCTTTCTTTTTACCACAAGCATGAAACAACCCACGGCAATCTCGTCCCTTTGAGGTGACCCCTGAAATGAATTTATGGAACACCCCTTTGAAGATGGATTTGCAGAAGGCAACGTTGCTCTTCCTTCAAGGAAACTTAATCTCTGCAAACGAAGTACGTGAAGAGAACAGAACAAAACCGGGGGGCCTACAGGGAAGCCGGAGAGAGACTTCATCAGGTACTGTAGTGACAGGACAAGGAATAATAGGTACAGACTGAAAGAGGGGAAATTCAGGTTAGTTATCGGGAAGAAATTTTTCCCCGTCAGGGTGGGGAGACACCGGAACAGGTTGTCCAAGGCAGGCTGCGGCTGCTCCATCCCTGGCACTGTTCAAAACCAGGTTGGACGGGGCTTGGAGCAATCTGGTCTAGTGGAGATGTCCTGCCCGTGGCAGGGGGGTTTGGAACCAGATCTTTAAGGTCTATTCCAACCACGTAACATTCTGTGATTCTAAATCTTCACTATGACCAGAAAGTCACAGCTTTGGGGCACAGATCGGGGACCAGCACCGGCACCGCACCCGCACGGACACACAAAGCACCGCTCGCAGGATGCTTTGCGCGTTGGTAATCGCAAGTTAAAACGTTTATACCGTCAGCGCTGCACAGCGATGCCGTGCGCGCAGCCCTCGCCACCCCCGCTCCCCGTCCCCGCCCGCTCTCACCTCCCCTGCGCGGCGCGGGTGCCCGGCGGGGCCCGGCCATCAGCACCCCATGACGGGGCGGCGGCGCCGGGGCTCCTCGCGGCGCTTCAGCACCGTGCGGGGCCCATGCCCGGGGCGGCGGCGGCGGCCGGCGGGCTCCTCATGTCGCCATGACGGGCGAGGGAAGGCTGAGGGGAGGTTGGGGGTGGAGGGGGGGGGAAAGGTAGGCGGGCCGCCGCGCCCGGGAGGGAGGGAGGGGTTAAAATAAAATAAAATAAAATAAAAATGAAAAGGGAGGGGGGGGGAGCGAGAGGCAGCCCGCAGCCAGGCCGCTTCCGGGGGGAATCGGGGAGGGGGGGTAGGAGGGAAGAAGCGCCGCGAGGCGGCGCGAGCGCCCCTCAGCGCGGAGCCGCCTTCACCGCCTCCCTTCAGCGCCGCCGCCAGGGGACAAAAGCCCGTGTGAGGAGGGGCGGAGGCCGCCGGCGGCTGGGGCGGTTCTCCCTCCGGTTCTCCCCCCGCCGCCCGGTGAGGGTCCCGCCGGCGGGCGGCTGCGAGGGGGAGTCGGGGAGGGGGGCAGGGACTCTTTTCTCTGGCGGAAGAATCGCGCGTCTCGGTCGCTTCGCGAAGGCATCCTCGGCGCGTGCGCGCGCGCGCAGCTTCGCGAGAGCGCGCAGGGGGCCTCGGAGCCGGCCCGGGGACGGTGTTTAAAGTTGCGTTTAAAACACTCGCGAAGCGATGAGAAAAGGTGTCTGTTTGTAGTTAAACCCCTTCTTGTGTGGACCCTCAGCAAAAGCGCCGAGTTCTTGCCTGTCCTGTGCCCATCCCGTGTCTCCCAGCCTGCGTGTGCTGGGACAGACCTCCTTGTTTATTCCGTATAGATCCCTTATTTACCGCCCTCCCTGCAGAATGTAAACAGGAATTTGCCCTGGGCTTTATTTGCTTCCTTAGGCCTTTCCCCAGCACAAAGGGTGTCACTGCACTTTTCCTTCTCGTAGCCAGGCTATGTCTGGCATTCCCACTGACTGCATGAGTGCCAGGGAAGCTGAGATGTTGTCTTACACCTCCATTCTTTAAGAACTGGACAACTAAACTTGTGAATGTCCCAAATTTTTTGTAACCTAATTTTCTTTTTTTTAAATGGGTTTGGGACTGTGTTACAATACAGTATAGCAGAGACCAGGAACAGAATAAATACTTGGCATGCAAATCCTGGCATGGTGAGGAGTGTCAGAATCTTGCCACACCACCAGAGGTTGAAATGAACAGATAAAAGCAAGAAGTTCAGAGCAAAGGCAACTCGTTTTCTTTAAACTCCTTCCAGTATCTGTAATTATTGGCTGTTCTGACAGCACACAAAGGAGGATTTCCTCTAGAGATAGTAAGCACAGTGACATAAATCAAGCACGGGGAGAGCATAGGTTGGTGTGGTTTTTTTTTCAATTTATTTCCTGACAAATTAACTCTGAATCAGTTTGCTAAAAATTCATCTGTCACGGGCTTTTTTTAACCCTTTCCCTAGTAGCTTATAAGACTGAAATGAAAGGCTATTTTTGCTGCAGCAACCCCTCTATGCATGGGGTGAACTGCTCTTGGAATCCAAGCCTGCCATGTGCTGCTCCCTTCCATTTTTATTAATTTTCACCTTGACTTTTCAAACTGAGAAGGTGCAGAGAAGGGCGAGTCCCGCTGGAATTTTATCCCGCTTTCACAATTCCATTCTAATTCTTCTGGGACTCGTTGCTTAAGAGTCGGCGTTTAAGAAGTCTGTAAAGCTGTGGCAGTTTTCCAAGATCCCACTGGTAGTTTGTGGCAGTCACCACAACCAAGGGATTTAGAGAGACACTGCTGGGAAAGAGAGAGAGGCAGCCGGCAAGAATTCCATGTGTTTGTCCAGGGAAAGAGGCAATATTAAACCCAGGGAAAAGAACTGACCTTGGTGATTGCAATGAGGCACACCTGGAGCACGGCCACTGTCCAACGGCAGGCAGGTGTTTTGCGTTGGACTTGATGCCCTGGACAAAAGCTGGATGTCTTGGAGTGGTGGAAAGACTCCCAAGGGCCATGTCAGCCAAGGAAGAACACTTTGGTTGCAGGGGTTCACAGCCAAACACTGAAATGTGGAAAAGGGATCTCGCCCCGATAAGGAGGACCTGGGGGTGCTGGTGGATGAGAGGCTGGACAGGAGGTGTCCATGTGCATTGGGATTGTTCAGCCTGGAAAAGAGAAGGCTTTAGGGTGACCTAATTATGGCTTTCCAGTGCTGGAGCAGAGCCTGTAAGAAAGATGGAAAGAGACTATTTACAAGGGCCCGGAGTGACAGACCAAGGGGGAATGGCTTCAAAGTGAAAGATATTAGGTTTAGATTGGATATTGGGAAGAAATCTTTCCCTGTGAGGGCAGTGAGGCCCTGGCACAGGTTGCCCAGAGAAGCTGTGGCTGCCCCACCTCTGGAGGTATCCAAGGACAGGCTGAACGGGGCTTGGAGCAACCTGGGCTAGTGGAAGGTGTCCCTGCCCACGGCAGGGAAGTGGAACTGGGTGAGCTTTAAGGTCCCTTCCAACCCAAACCATTCTATGATTCTGTGTATCCTTGCAGCAGACATTTCTGTCTATTTTTAAACATCCTTCAGAGAAAGGTCTTGTGGTTTGGCTCTGTGTGGTGCTGTGGAGACCCAAGTGCTGCTCCCTGCCTGACTTTTGACCAGTCAGTTAAACGCAGGGATGCAAAGGTTAAGGCTCTCATTTTCATACCCACCCAGCTTCGGTGCATTCAAAGTTCAGCAAGGGCTCGCAGAGCTCGAGGAGTTCAAACCTGTGTGCAGACAGCAGCTGCAGAGCAAGGATAGATCCAGCCTCGTGTTGGGCAGGCTGGGAGGCTATATTCAAATAGTTTGTCAAGAATTTGAATATCCCGAGGGGCTGGAAACATGCAAACTTGTAAAAACAACTGCTGTTTGGGTTTAGCTGGTCAGGTTCGCTCTGTGACAGAGTTATCCCTGTGGTTTTCCTTGTGTTTGTGCTTTGGCTCCAGTCATTACATAACTTATCTATATTTATTGCTAGCCTGTGATCCAAGCAGGCTTGGAGCAGCCCAGAGGAGGCAATATTGATGTTGGTTTAGAGAACAGAATCTTTAAAAAAAATAATGGACACAGACTCTCAGGATTTCTTGGTTTTCCAAAAGCTGCAAAGAAAGTTAAACTCCATTTTCTTTGTGAGAGGCACAGTTTGCAAGTGTGGAATGTTGGGAAAAGCAGCAGAAGGTAATAAGGACAATCCTAAAAACATAGTTTATGGTGAAATGACCTGGCAAGGCTCTGCTCAGCTTCCAGGGAAGAAGTGCTCGTCGAAGAAAAATCATTGGTACATAGGAACTTTCCCAGAGGAATGAAATGGGTTTGAGCACTGAACTGCCTGATCTCTGTGAGAACTGAACTATCCAAAATCGTTAGTTAGTTTTGAAAAATCTTACCCTTTTTTGTGCAATGAATGAACCAATGGAATGCTGATTTTCCCAGTAAGTCGTGTGGAAATCAGAATATACGAATTATTGGGCTGCTCTGCCTTATAAGTACATCGGCTGTGCTTGTTCCTACAGGCAATAATTAGCTGCCCTTTGAAAGAAAATAATCCTGTCTTCCTGGAGAATATGTGGCAAAGGACAAAAAGAAACTAGATGCAGGCTCCTTCGTTTCTCTGAGCTCAAATGTAGATTTGCACCGCAGCTGTTAAAGGCTGTTGACCCCAGAAACCATCAGCAGCAGAATTACAGGAGTGTCACCTCGAGTGGAACATCCCCACGGCCTCTGAGGACTTTGTAGCTGTTCCCACCCTGCTCTTCCTACCAGCAGGAATCTAAATTATTTACTAGGAAAACAAACCCTTGTATCTGAGCTGCACAAGATTCCCTTTCCTGTCTGTTCCCAGCACGGAGCTTCTCGAAACACCGAGACACAGTTCTGCTTTCCACCGGAGCTGTGAAATACGTGCTCACATTTAGCAAATGAAGCACCTCTTTCACCTCATTCAGTGATTAATTCAGAGAGGAGAACTGCAGGCACTAAATTAACCTTTTTACCTGATTTAGTTTTACTAAATAAACAGCCCCATAATGTAATTTTCTCAACCAGAACAGCTATTTCCTGCGGTTTGCTTTCCTATTTGGAACGTGTTCCATTCCGAATCTATTTCATTTCACTTTGTAACAGTAACACCTTCAGACTGTGTCCCTTTTCCCTAGGGATCACACCTGTAAATCCAGCATTCTTCCTAGAAAACAGATGAGTAGTCAGAAATGGCTGTCACAGCACGCAGGAGCACCAACAGCAGATAGGAATGTGCCTCCTCCTCAACAGCATTCCCAATTTTACCTTTTAGTATTGGCAGCGTGAATGACCCGGGGGTGTCAATTAATATCCAGGTTTTATTCCATTTTTTCCCTTCCAGAACATCAAAATTCCTTCCTTTTCTCCGTTGCTTTTAATCAGCTGACTGTGGTTGTACTCCACTGCAGACATCATCGTTAATAAGTGGGTAGTTTATGTCCTGGGGAGTTGATATCAGCACTGCAGGAGCTCATAACCTTGCCCAGTGTGTGGTGGTGCTGTGCCACTTGTGGCCGTGCCTTTTCCCAGGGATCTTTGCCGCCCCGTAACAGTGATTTCCACTTTTCCATGTGGATCAGGATCATGTTCACTGAGGGTACATCTGAGAAAGTGTATCTGAATTATCTCTTCTGGCAAGTGTCAAGGGGATGTTAGTGAAACGTGCCTGGATACGGTAGCTTAGGACACAACTATGCTGGAAATGTTCTTGCAGCTGTTCCTTGGAAAACATCTGTGGGACTGGCCGTGGAAATCTGTACATCTCTGTTCACACCAGCACAGAGCAATTTTCCTCTCCTGCAACAAAGTATAAATTATTGGGAAATAAGGACATTATGCACCAATGGACATGAAATGACTAAAGGTAGTCATCTGGAAAGCAAGGGGGGGAAAATGGAATATTCCTTACTGGCACAGGAATAATATAAGCAGACTCCACAAGAATTCCAGTACTCCAGCTTCTAGTATTTGAGTGGGAATAACCACTTCTCTAGACTCAATTACTTACATTTACAGTTGGAAAAAACCTTCCATCTGTGACAGTCTGTGTTTGTATTGTCTGATAAAGGGAAGAATATACAGGTTGACGTTATTTTGTATTTATAATTAGTGATTATCCCTATGCAAAGGGAAAAGGACGTTGTCCCAAAGAAGTCAGTGTTAGCAAATGACATACAAGAATTTAAGTAGCTGTGGTAAAGGAGAGAAAGGAGTATTTTGTTTTGTAAGTATCTTCATATTGTCTTGTGGATGCTTTGTGCAAAGGGACCTCGGGCCCCTTAGAGTTTAATCCCAGTTATAATGGAATGTTAAATTAGAAAATAAGTGTTAAATCATAAAATAAATTTACAGTATCCATTCCCAGCCCTCATAACTGAGTGCTTCCTACCAAATCATTTTACTCAGCAGCTGCCTGGTTCTACAGGCAGAAAGGTGACTGCTTCTCTTTTTTTTTTTTTTTCTTTTCCATGGGTTAACTTTTAATGACTAATTTAAATTCCATTTATGCAGAATCCCTATGATTTTGAAAACGTCTCCTGAAATTATGCACGACTACCTTTCCAAAAAAAAAAAACAAAACCAAAAAAAAACAACTTTCCAAAGCCATAAGTACAACACTGCCTAGAATTATCCTGTCAATTAAATAAAAGAACCCACTTAAAATAAGTGACAGAAATACACAGTGAATTAAACGCACCTTCCAGTAACAAATGGTTATTAAAGGAGACCTCTGAGCAAACTGCTGGTTCCGTGGTCATGCTTGGACAAGCACAAGGCTATTGAAACACACAGCTGCCTTTCAGACAATTTAACTTGCACTGAAGGCAAATTATCGCCATTTGATGTCATTCTCTTGGCTTCTCAGAGACTCCCTTCGCTGCACAGCAGTGTCAGGGGGAGCAGGACCGGGGCTGCAGCTCCAGCTGCCGATCAAATGCTGCCTGCAACGTCCTCCTGCAGAAAACGGGCTTGTGCATCTGGTAGTATGAGCTGAAAAAAAGGCAGGGACAGATATTTTAACAGGCTTGGAGGAGCAGTATGGGGTTCTGGCAATAGCTGGAGTGGGAATCGGGGAGGACTAAGACAAAGGGCACCTGAACCCACCCCCTACAGAAGTCATGAATAATAATTGCAGTCACTGGGTAAGCTCTGAAGTGTGTCACACATTCGGAGTCTTTCCTGCTTCCTCCCTTTTTCTCAGTGCCCAGAGAGCAGAGTTTCAACAAGGTGGGGCAACAACAACAACCCATGAGCAACAGAACTGCAGATATTCTTGCCATGGCCCTGGTGAAGTCACCACGAGTCCCTTCCCCTCGGTGCTGTCTGTACGTGAGGGTTTGCACTGCTCTGGGGGTGACGTTCCCCCTTCCTCTTCCCATGCCAGAGCCCTTTTCAAAGCCTCCAAAGTGAGACTGGATGATGTTAAAAATATAGGTTGCACTGGACTGTTGGCTCTTTGCTCCAGATCTTTCCAGCTCTGTGTAGAGAGGCCTTTGTGACAACACAGGCTCACCAAAGAGCCAGCTCACACTCTCCAGACTTTTCCTCGCTCTCTGTCAGTATCAGGGATCATGGAATTCTGTGCTTCCCAGCATACCCTACATGGGCTCGCTCGACGCTGTGAAATAATAGCCAGGGGCCTGTCCCTGGTGTTATTTCTGGAACAGAATCCTTTTGTGTCAGTGAAAACTTGGAATTTCCTTCACAATTCAGGATTTTACCACTACAATTGAAGCAATTGAATTTTTTAGCTGCGTTTCACAGGTTTTCTGCCAGCTACTGGGAATAAGGACATTTTCTAGTACATTTTTGGATTTCTCTCCTCTAGTAATCTCATCTTGGGAGCCTTGTCCCAGGACTGTGGTGCAGCTGTGCTGGTATAGAGGTATTTGTATAAATAAGGCAGCTTTTACTTTCAGTAAGCAAAAGTATGTGGTATCAGTACATGGCAGATTTATTTAAATGAAAACTTACAGTCCATCCTAAGCTTATTGTTTCCATTGATTTGTGTTTGGGTCCTGTCAGCTCAAAATACTTTCTGCTCTAAGTTTCCTGAGCAAACAAGCTGGGTTTCTTTTTTCTGTCCTCTCCCTTCCTTATTCCAAGAGCTGTTTGGAACTTGGGGTGTGGTCTCTGGGACTAACAGACTCTGGATTTGTCCGTGTGGCCGGTGAACCTCTTCCCCAACATCAACCTCCTATTTACATTATTCCTTTATTGGGAAGCCTGTCTCTCCCTTTTTCTTGTGGGCAGCATGTAATAAATCTGAATAAATTCATTTATTTATGAATGCTGAGCCTGACTTCCATGGGCACGAGGTGAGGGGTGTGGAATTACACTCCTCTGGACAGACAGGAGCTGCACTGGTGAGGACATTGCTCCTATGGCTACTGGAGGATCAAATGCCACTTCCCTTCGGGGGCTGCTGTCTGGGGAGCAAGGTTTTAAGTTCTGACAGACATATGAATCATTTCATCTCTTTGAATGTTTCCTCCCAAAGGGCCTGGTGAGGGGAAGCCCGTGCAAAGGCTTTTGATAGCTTGTATCCCCAGGCACCGGTCCCACTGCTCCTAAAAGCAACAGAATCTGCAAAACATTTCTCAGATACATATACATACTTGTGTGTACATGTACAAAGCTGTGGAGCCTCTGTATCTGTTTTCTAATAGGTGCATTTTGGTACAGAAATGCAACTCTGTGACTTCTGCCTTCCACTTGCCAGCACTGCTGCTGTCCTCCATACTGGGGTAATGGGGCAGCAGTGGAGCACTTGGATTAATTAGTGGCCATAAATGGTGTGGAGCTCTTTGGTTGAGTGGTTCAAGGGAACTGTTGTTCCAAGTGACCCTCATTTTCCTTCCGTGGGTGTGCAGAGTGGGCAGACTGCTTGTGTCTGGAGTGTTAATTACTCTGTGTCCCTTAATCAGGAAGGTTGTAATCCTATTTCGGTGTGGAAATCCACATGCCACAGGGCCCAATCAGCATCCCTGATATCATCCCCTGCCAGTCAATACACAGCCATTAGCCATCCAGAACTATTCCCGAGGAACTGCTGTGCAGACATGCCAGGACAAGTTTTGCCAAGCCACACTGGAAGACAGTTTAGCAAGGCTGGTTAAAATAATCCCAGTTTAATGGGACATGCATCTTTGGGTTCCCAAAGAACGTCAGGCAGGACTTGCTGCTCTCTAAAGCACAGCGTGTTACAGAACAGATAAATTGTGTTTCCTCAGAATACTGAAAATACTTCTCATCCCCTCCCCCCCACATTCACACTTCCCTGGATCCCAAATAAATGCCACATTGAAAGAAAATTATTCCTTGCATAAGTGAAGAAAAAGAAAACAACAACAGATTTTGTTTCCTGACCTCGCCACAACTCCTCCTTTTCCCACAACACTCCATTGTTCTACCAGGTCCAGACAGCACAGGGAGCAGACTTGTTTTCCCTGTTTTTAATCCCAAAGCTGGAGTCCATTGCTTACAATAAGGATCCTTGGGGTTTGGTGGGTTTTTTTCTCGATCCTACTCAGCTGTTTGCAACAAATGAGTTAATTACCAAGGAACAAAGATGAGGCAGGGATCCTTCTCTCCCAGCTTGGGAAGTGAGCCATGCTCTGATAAGAGATTTCCCCCCTCAGGTTACGTGATGTATTGAAGGATAATTTTTCAGTGTGTTCTATTAGGTTTAAATTAGTAAAGGGAAAGGAATGTATGTGTTCAAGTAGGTGTCTGAATTGGTATTTTTAGAGCTGTCATGCTCTGTGCTTGCAAAATGAACATTTTCTGTCCTTTAGGTAAACTGGAACTTATGTTCCACTATGTTGGAGGAGGACGAACAGCCACGTTCCATATCTGTGGTGGCAAAATACACTTCAGAATGTGGGGAGAAATAAAAGGAGTGACCACCCAGGGCTTTTGGAGAACAGAGACTGGAGCCGAGAGCCTCATCCTATAAATGTCACCTGGATGTTGTCACTGCATGGAACCAGTCGGAAGTTGGTTCCACTCACAATTGTTAACAATTAATTTTTCAAACTGGAGCAGATCCACAGCTCCCACTTCAGAAGCTACAATGGCTTTTGTCCCCCCCCCCAAAAATCAGCCGGTGCGCCGGTTCATTCCCCGTGTGATGGGAGGGATGCTCGGGTGTAGCTGGTGGTACCTACAGGAGCGCTGGCCCCCGTCAGGAGTTACCCTGAGGAAAAGTCGTGCGTGTTTACGGGAATCTTGGAGCGCTTGGCATCCAAACAAACTCGACGGAAGCGTTGGCCGTCATCGCTGGCAGAGCAGACAGGGACTGTGCCTCGAAATAGCGCTTGGCAGAGGAACGCTGCTGACGGCTCGGTGGAGAAGGCGGATTTGCTTTTCCAGACCGAGACATTTCATAAACAGTTTCTGTTTGTTGGAGCTGTGGAACCTCACTAGATCAAACCCAGTCCTAATCTGCTGGAGCCGCCTCCACAGGCTTTTGTCTCCAGTGTGTACACACAGCCAGTCGCTGTGGTTTGGGTCTGTCCTAGGACATTTATCCCTTTGTGTTTGACCACGAGCACGTTGGGGCAGCCCCACAAATCCTCCAGACGATGGGGTTTTTGTTTTATCTGGTCAAGCTGCAGGCTGAGAAGGTCTTTGATGTAGCCTCTGACTTAGGGGCCGACCCACCGTCTCCTTCCTGACACACCGAGCCTTGGATTCACTCCACGGGATGGGAAGCTTGGAAGCGCACATCCCAAAAAACTCCGTCGCACCAGGCTGTACGTAAACCTGTCGATTTGAAGCAGGACGCGGAGGGGTTTTAAAATCCAGGCGGGTGTTTGGAAGCCTCAAGGAACAGCACGAGGAGGAGGGTCCCACAGAGACACACACTAAACCCGCGGTGGCTGAGCACTGGTCCTTACCCTGCATGGGGACGCGGGATAAGGCAGGACGGGCGGTGCGGGGGCAGAGGAGCGCTGTGGCACACGTGCCCGCCGGGACCCGCCGCGGCTGAGGGGGCGCGCGCGGGCCCCTCGCGGTTGCCGGGGCCCGGAGCTGTGGGCGAGGCAGAGGCAGAGCTGGCCCGACCAATCAGGAGAGACCCGGCCA